TTAGCATCTTTATCCTCCCCTCCCTGTTACTCTACATGCCTTCTGTTAGCTCCCCTCTTTCCAGGTCGTCTCCACTTACCCTTTCTACTTCATAGCTATGGCAAAAAGAAAAATTAATTATAAATACTCAGTGTCAACCAAATAACTTATTAAAACTAACCAATAAAGTAACAACGCCTACATTTATGAATGCAGTGAAAATGCACCAGAGCTACCATGTGTAAAATGTTTCCATGAGTAAATAATAATTCGTTTTTCTATTTTTGTTTTTGAGCAATGATCTTTGGAGACCGGACACTCTCAGCCACCGTTGTTTTTGCATGCACAGAGATGCACCAATAACTGTATATTTCTCTATGTTAAACTGCATCATGTTAGATATAACAATACTTTTTCATTTGAAGTACGTTTGACTTTGCTTAGTGTTTGCTTCCGCAACACTGACATTGATCTTTCCGTTTTGTTTTCTAGGATTCGAAGACACATCTGGTAAATTTTTTCTGAGAATGTTTACTCTGATAACCCTTCATATGACTCTTTTTAGCATCTTTATCCTCCCCTCCCTGTTACTCTACATGCCTTCTGTTAGCTCCCCTCTTTCCAGGTCGTCTCCACTTACCTGGCCAGTTTATAAGTATGGACTTCTTCCACAATAAATTCTTTCCTTCATTTATTGAAACTGAACATTTGGTTCCATAGAAATAGATGGTATAATGAGAGTTTTCTGGGCCAAGAGTAATTAGAGAAAGAAAACTGAAAAGTCTTTTTCTTTTTTTTTTTAAGTTACAAAATTTGAGCTGGATAAAGAAATAAACTTAATACATTTATTTTACAATGAATAAGTTTAATACACTTATTATACTACGTTGTATGCTTCAAAATTGCTGATAGAGTGATTATAAGGCCAGCTTGTCACAAAAACAATGACAATGTGAAGAACTGCATTGTTGATTAGCTAGACTTAGTCATTGCCACCATCTATATATATTTTAAGACATCTTGATGTACAACATAAATACATATAACTTTATCTCTCCTTAAAATTAAATTGGACCCAGTTGTGGTGTAGTGCTTAAGGCTCTGGATTCCACTTTACCAACCATGGTTTGAGTCCCAGATCCAGCCTCTTGAAAATCACATCAGACCAGTTTTCGTGTTTCCCAAGATTTCTAGAAGAGACTGGAGGAGATGGGGTTTACCAAAATCATGATACATTTTATCAGATGAGGAAGAATAAATGGACAGGCTAATGCTTTTCATTTCATACATGTATCTTTGTATAGGCACACACACACACACACACACACACACACACACTTATTTATGAACATGTCCACTAGTTAGTATCTCTATTACATAGTTC